CGGGTGCCCAAGGACTGGGTACCGGCGCTGGAAAGGTGGGCGGGGTGGAAGGCTGCGGGCTGGAAAACTGAAGGCCGGAACGGCGGCGGGGACATGAAAGACGCGCGGGCGAAGTCCAGACGCGAAAGGAGACGTTGTTTGTCCACGGCCGCGGGTGTTATGACCCTGGGCCTGGCCGTGGGGGTGCTTGGGAGCTCCCTGTTGCGATGCTACGGATCGACAGAACAAGGGGCGGCGGCAGAAGGGCCGATCTTGCCGGAGCGCTACGTGGTCTTGACCGACAACGAGGGTATCTGGGCGATCGGAGACCCTCCCCCGGTGGCGACCTGCGGCAGCGGCATCCTGGTTTGCGGCAAGGACTGCCACAATTCGGCCGAACCCTGGCAGGTCGCCTTCGGTAGCCCCTGGCCCATCACGTTCCCGATCGTGTGGGATATTTCCCACCAGTTCGCGCACCAGACATGTGAGGTGATTTGCGACACGCCCCAAGAAACCGAGAGGGCTGTAAATGACCGGCTTCGCTACCAATTCCCCCAGTTCCCATTCTATAACACGAGTAGCATAACAAACAGGACGTTGGCGGAGGCGGTCAAGGCGTGGCAGGGTGGGACACCACAGAACTTTGTCCAGACAATGTCAATCGACCAGGAAGCCCAAAAGTGCCGGGACGGGCTTAAAAAGAACGTTGCCTGCACAGGGCGGGGTGTGCTATGGCAAGATGTCGCCACGGACACGAAATGTCACTGCGACCTAGTCAACGTCACATGCCCAGTAACCACGATAAAGGACCAAGGCACATTTAATGTCACACTCACCGACTTAGAAGCGTGGCTGGCCAGGGTAGCCAGCGCCTTCGCTGGCTACAAGAAAGATTACTACGACGTCGAGCGCTGTGATTATGAATGCTGGGACTTGACTCCGGACGCCAAACGGATCGCCCACGCAAACAGACTTGTGCAAAAAGCCCGCTTGGGCATTCCATGACGAGGTCTTCAGATCTGGTCAATCATTACAAGATCGGTAGACCGCAAGTGTTTGAGCAAGGGAGACGATAACAAGATCGGTAGAAAAATGTTTTTTTAAAATTCGAGTGATTGTGATGACGACTAGCTTTGTAGAACCGAAATCAAACAGTCTCTGACTCTTTGAGCAGAACTGGGTTTTGCGCGTAAACACCTCGAGATGTTGGCATCTGAGACGACGAGCAGGTGCACGTTTTCAAGACTTAACCGTTCGAGTCCCTAAGACTGGAGCTTCTTTCCGATTCCGCCCGCTCGTGGGGAGGAGGAGGAGGAGGACGAGACAGGGAAGCACCAACACAGACAGCACCAGGGAGTGAGTCATCTAAGAGTTTCACGGCGAAGAGGAGAAAAGGCCATCACGGACCAGTGAACGTGAAAGACAGCACAGCAGGGGAGGTCCTCCTCACCGTTCTTTTAGCCCACAATTAAGAGAAGGAAATCACGCTCTGGAGAAGAATCATAATGAAGGAAAAAGGATAGATAATCTCGGAGACGGCGGCTGATATCGGAGACGGCGGCTGATGTCGGAGACGGCGGCTGATGTCGGAGACGGCGGCTGATACAGATCCAGGCAAGTGAGGGCCCAGGTTTGGTAGAACAAAGGCAAATTTGCTTTTTCTCTGCTCGAAGATGCGTACATTTAAGAGTAGGGCGAGTGGCCTGACGGGTAGCGAGTTGTTGTCTGTGTTGATCCGTCCGGATGGCAGCCAGACGAAGTTGGATGATTGTGTGGCGCAGGTAGTTACGATACGCACGGGCGGCGGAGGCGACGGCGGCGGGGAGGTAACGGCTTTGGTGTTGGCGCCCAAGAAGGCGTTTCGGGTGGGGCTGGAGTCTATCAGCGAGCAAGTGCCGTTGACGACGATGGTGGAGGGCGAGAACTACGACTGGTTCGAGCAGTGGGACCGGATGATGGTGTGGCGTCCGAAGGAGGGGCCTCCTGGCGACCAGCGCTCGGAAGCGGGGCTGCTGGCCGCGCTGCGGCGCCGCTTGGCGCGCAGCGGACCGCGGAACAAGCCGGATGCGGTGGAGGCGTTATGTGGCGAAGTGTTTGGTGAACACTTGCAGGAACTGCACGCCATCCTGAAGGGGAGTGGCGAGATGCAGCGTCGGGACGACCTTACCGTGGCCGTGACGCGGCCGATAGATCCGTCGGAGTTGACAGAGCTTTTGACATGGGTGCCTAAGGACTGGATGCCGGTGCTGGAAAGGTCGGCGGGGTGGAAGACCGCGGACTGGAAGACAGAGGGCTGGAACGACGGCGGAGACATGGAGGGCGCACCTGCGAAGCCCCGACGCGAAACGAAGCACCGCCTGTACACGACCGCGGGCGTTCTGGGGCTAGGCGCGGTTGTCGGCTTCCTTGCGGACTACCTGTTGCGCT